CTTTTCTCTTTGGAGAGTGGAGGTAGGTATGAAATGTCCAAGCTTCTAATCATGGCTTGGTCTTTCTGGTGACCTACCAAAAATAACCTCATTAGAACAAAAGATGCTCTTATAACTCAGAAAATTCTAAAGGGTGGCCAGCTGTCATTGCTCGGCGTTTGAGAATCGACCTATTGTTCCAGGAGGTTATGGTTCAATTTCAGATCAGAGCACATGCCTGGTTTGTGAGCTCGATCCCTAGTAGGGGGTATGCAGGAGGCAGTTGATGAATGATTGTCTCTCATCATTGATGTTTCTCTCTATCTCTCCCTATCCATTTTATTGATATCAATAAAAATATATTTTTTAAAAAGTTTAAAAAATAAAAAGAAAATTTGAAGGAGTTTAGGAGCTCTGTGTCAGGATCAAAGGCTAAAATATTAACAGGAATCAGATTTCACAAGTGATAAAATATGTGCTGAGTCACTCATTTCTTTTCAGTGCCCCATATCAGCTATTTTACTCATATCTATAATTTTATGGATTCATGATAATATCAAATCATATTTCTTTGGCCTCTTTTTACTATTTTGTACACTCATCAAAATTTCCATATGTTGAATCTCAGATTCTCATGATTATTTTTTTGCTACTTAATATAAGCAACATTTATTCCCTCTGTTAGCAGATGCACTGTAGACTCAGAGTGACCTGGGGGTCAGACTGTTGTTGGGGAGGAAGGAAAGTTGAGCCTTGGTGTTGGGACTTGTGTCTGCTTTTGCTGTCTTCACTGCAGATAGAAGTATGTGTCTTTTCTGCTGTTCTGAGGATAATGGGGAAGTAAATAGCTTATATATTGCCCATCCCGCAGGTTCTTTGCTTTTAATATGCTCAGTAAAAGTGCCCTGTTTTTTCTGGGCATTAAAAGGGCAAAATGTCAATAGAGTAATGAGCAAAGGAAGCACTGTCTGGTTGCACTGATGGAAAAAATCACTTTGAGTGTACATGTATGTACATGAAGGACACAATTATGTATATGGTTTGAAGAGCAAATTCTGTAGAAAGAATTTGACTCAAGAAACTTGATAAAGTACAGAATCTGTGTGGAATAATAATTAAGGTGATAGAAAATTGGCTCCTCCTTTGTATCAGAATGAAGAGATCCTATACTCTGAAGACTTTGTAACAGTTCTCTGTAATGAAGCATTTAAATGGTTTTTAAAGAGCAAATGAGCATACTAATTGATCAGACCCAAATGGTCCCAGCCAAGGATTCTTTTTTTCATCTTTTCAAATGCAACTTTCCCAGGAATATCAATACTGATTTACGAAGTACATTTTATCTTTCAATTACTTTGGAATTTAAAGGAGAAGAGGATTGTGTTTTGCTTCTATTTTGTATTTTAAACATGAAAATTTACCTATATATTATGTTTTTATAGCAAATTTTATTTTGGCATAGCTATATTCATTCACACAAAGTCATTATTTAGTATTCTTTAATTGGTTTGAATGATATGGACAAAAAAAGCTTTTAGAGCAAAACAGTATATAAAGATATATGTGATTAATGATATCAGTATACTAAATATGTGATAAATAATATCAGTATAATAAATATGTGGTAATGACATCAGTATATAAATATGTGATAATGGTATCAGTATAATAAGTATGTGATAATGATGTCAGTATAAATATATGATAATGATGTCAGTATAATACATATGTGGTTATGATATCAGTATACTAAATATGTGATAACGATATCAATATACTAAATATGTGATAATGATATCAGTATAGTAAATGATATCAGTATTTCGATGTGAGTACTTAATGTTTATTTCTCTCCAATACATTGATTTTGTTTGAGCTATAACTATTCTCTAGGAATGTTTTAAAGATAAGAAAGTCTTATAATGAGCTGACTTAGGCTTTATATTTACTGTGATACCAAAATTTATTTACTTTGTATAGTTAATGTAGCTTCTGCCCTGTATCTTTACAAAGCTATTCTTATTTTATATCTTTATTATATAGTTTTCCTGTCTTAATATAAGCAATATTATTTTGTGCCTTTGAAATGTACCTTGTTCTCATAAGTATGAGCTGTCTGTTGAGCTGGCACAATGAATGTCCTACCATAAAATGTTAACATTGAATATTAGTAAATTAGGAACACTACTTTTCAAATTGCATTATTATGGATTTAGCTATGTAAAACTTGCATACATCTTATCCTATATAATAAAAGGCTAATTTGCAAATCAACTGAACAGTGGAACGACCAGTTGCTATGACATGCACTGACCACCAGGGGGCAGATGCTCAATGCAGGAACTGCCCCCTGGTGTTCAGTGTGCTCCCACAGCGGGAGTGCTTCTCAGCCAGAAGCCGGACTCCCACCTTTAGGGCAGTGCTAAGGATGTCTGACTGATGGCCGTCAGTTGGACATCCCCCGAGGCTCCCAGACTGTGAGAGGGCGCAGGACAGGCTGAGGGACCCCACCCTCCCGCCCCCAGTACACAAATTTTGTGCACTGGGTTTCTAGTGTTAAGATAAGCTATAAAAATAGTTTCTTACTGATAAATTCTGTACTTCCAAAAATTATTTCATCTAATTGAGATATTTCAGCTTGCATGTTAAATCCCTAAATTCCTTTAAAAAGTATTTTATAATTATGTTAATTTTGATTGTTTTTAGAAAATTTTAAAAGTTTGTTGGGATACAAAGAGAACAATTGAAGTCTACCCATTACTCTGCACTAGTCTGCTTTCATGTGTGTAATTGAACCATTCTCTAAACGCACAATCTTTAAAGGATGCATTATATTCCAGCCTAATTATGTACTGCTATATACAGGGTGTCCCAAAAAATGTATGCACACTTTAACACCTGATAGCTCAATTTTGAAAATGAAATGTACTTTAATAAACACTGCCTTTATAATTATTCAAAGTGCGTGTATACAATTTTGGGGGACACCCTATATTTAGCCATTCATCAATTATAATTTGATAATTCCAATTTGAGTGACTAGGTCAGTGGTCGGCAAACTGCGGCTCGGCAAACTGCGGCTCGTGAGCTCTTTGGCCCCTTGAGTGTGGCTCTTCCACAAAATACTGGCTCTTCCACAAAATACCGACTTTTGCGCATGGGCCACGAAGTTTCAATCACATTGTATGTGCGCACCCGCACGTGGTATTTTGTGGAAGAGCCACACTCAAGGGGCCAAAGAGCCACATGTGGCTCGTGAGCCGAGGTTTGCCTACCACGGGACTAGGTGGATGCTGGTCTAATATTTCAAAATTGGGGGAAAAGGAGGATAAATAGGTTGTAGTACTAGATGAGGCATTTAGTTGTGATTTGAGGAGCTCCTGCTACATGTTCATTATGTGGTTGGAAATGCTGAGTTTGAAAAGGAATTCTAGCCTTCCTCATTGGGAGGTGACAGGTACAGAGATCTAGGTGGTTGAAGTCTTGGCCATGGGTGGGATTACTGAGGAGGGGCACAGGAGGCACACTGCTTCATCTTGTGGCATACATTTTTTAAAAAATATATTTTCATTGATTTCAGAGAGGAAGGGAGAGGGAGACAGAGATAGAAACATCAGTGATGAGAGGGAATTATTGATTGGCTGCCTCCTGCATGCCCCCTACTTTGGATTGAGCCTGCAACCCAGGCATGTGCCCTTGACCAGAATCGAACCCGGGACCCTTCAATCCGCAGGCTGATGCTTTCTCCACTGAGCCAAACTGGCATGGGCAATTTTTATTGATAGAATATGTCATCTCACTGCATTTAATTAGGTTAGACTTTAAGCTTTCATTTCTTCTTTGCTGTATTAAGATGGGCAAAAGTTTATGTAAGTTAAAATATGTTGTATTCTAAAACAATCTTTTATGCCTTGATGACTGCAATTATGGCATTAAAGCTTGCATATACAGCTAATTAATTAAACAATATCACCTGAAAAATTCCATCTATAGTATGTGAAAGGTTAACAATGGGTGGTTACGCGGGCAGGCTAAATAGCCATCTCAGACAGTGGATAAAGGAAAATTGAATTTATTTAAAGAAAGGGGATAAAGGATGGAATATCCAAAGGAAAGGGCTGCACAGCACTAAGCCAAGGTGACATTGGGTCAATGATGGAAGCACCCAGGAGCTGGAGTTTCATCTTTCTGTGCAGTCACTGGTGGGAAGCATTTGTGAGTGGGTCTGGGGGCTGAGCTGGTGGGCTTGGAATGCGGATGGAATGCAGGTGTGCCATCAGGTGCCTTCAGGACAGTTTCCATTCCTTATATGGTCTGACTCCTAGTGATCAACAAGTTTTTCCTGGTCTTTGTTCTCCTGTGGCGGGAAGCTTACAAATAAATGGCTGTTAAGGATTGTATCTATAGTCCTAACATTATGTATGGTACAGTATTGTGAAAAATCTTCTCTGCATAAAACTATTAATAACATTGAAAATTCCTAATGAAAAGCAAGGGACAAATGAGATATATTTATTTTGATTCCTGTATTGTTTTTCTCCTGTGGTTTAGAATATATACAGGGTGGAGCAAAAGTAGGTTCACAGTTGTTCGTATTGAAAATAATACAATGATTAGTAAATAACTCTGTTCCAGGTACTCACAACTGTATATCTACTTTTGCCCCACTCTGTATAAACAGAAATCCTCCTGCCTCTCCCTCCCCCCCCCCCAAAAAAAAATCCCAAACTCTAGGAGTCTACATGTTTTCAGTCCTTTTCACTATATTTCCCCCTATCTTTTTGATAATCTGTTTTGGGTTTGTTTCAATATTTAAATAAATGCTGCATATAAATAATAATCGCTGTCCCTAGGAATCCTTTGAAGGGGTACAGGTGCACTGCTATCCTGGATTTTGTCATGGAACTCTGGTGGAGATACTGTGCCTGTTATGATTAAGAACTGCTCATTAGCCCTTTAAACATATCTGTGAGGAAGAAACACTGGAATATAATGTGCTTTGCAATTTTGTTCCCTATTAGAAAGCAGATGAAGAGGATGTTGTTCTCACACCTGATGGTACCAGGGAATTTTTGACATTTGAAGTTCCACTTAATGATTCAGGATCCGCAGGTCTTGGTGTCAGTGTCAAAGGTAACCGGTCAAAAGAGAACCATGCGGATTTGGGAATCTTTGTCAAGTCCATTATTAATGGAGGAGCAGCATCTAAAGTAAGCAAATGTCAACTTTATTGAGCTTATGTCCATTGATAAAAATGTTTAATTTTACCCCTATAACTATTTTGGAAATGTATACACTGCAGAGGAGGACAGACTTTCTATACCTCATAGATTCTGTTTCTGAGGCCTATTAGTTAATCTTGGGAGACAAAAGACAGATTAACAGGAGAAAAAGGTTAACATTTTATTGAAGTTAATATTTTAAATTTTACATATATTGGGGCTCCACAGAAAAAAAGTGTACACTGAAGAAACAGTGAGACTTGGAAGGTTAAATACCATTTAAGCAAACAGCAGTACATTGTGTTTAATAAAAGGAAAAAGGGTTTGGGCTTCTAGGGGCTGTAGATTTTGGGAAGGTAATTATATCAGGGAAACTAATGATAAGGTTTATTTTGTAAGGTTTGTTTATGCAGACTAATCTCTTTGCCATCTCTGTCTCTGGTGTTGAACATTGTCCTTCCTTCCCTGGTTTGGGAAAAGTGAGGGGACACCTTCATAAAGGAAATGCATGTCCTGTGTTCAGGAAGAAAGGGGAGAGCAGAGAACACCTGCTGTGTCTGCCATTTCTCAGTTGCCATCAGCTCAGAATCATTCTTACGCCAAAGTGGTATATTTTGTGTTGGCATATTCTGATATCCTATAACACTTAACAAATATTGTGTGTGTGTGTGTGTGTGTGTGTGTGTGTGTGTGTGTAAAAAGCAGTGATCTCTCATTTTGGGGTGGTGTCCATGGCTTCAACTCCCCATTTTTGTCTCATAGATTTTACAACCCATAATCATTCTAGTTAAATGAAGATAATCTATGCACAGACCTAGTTTAGGTTCTGGCTCTGAGCTGCCATACAATAAAGGTTAATCTTTTTTTTCCCCTTCACTGTCTATGGATCGCTTATCCTATTTCCCAGTCTAGAGAAAATTTCTTGGTTGTTTGTTAAGAGGGCACTTCTCTCTCTGCACTTGTCTAATAGCCTTGAGCTTTGGCATATCTTGGGTTGTAAATAACCTCTGTGGGTGTCTCTGGAAGCAAGAAAGTAATCACTTTGTATCCTTTGAATTAGTACCCTATTTTGGTAAACAGATTATGATAATGACTTGATTTACAAATGTATAAATGACTGAAATGGACAAAGGCTACAGTGACTGCTTGGACAGTATGCTGGTATTCAATTGGGAAAGTCCATTAGGATTAAAGTCTGCCCCCTCCTCTTTTTTTTTTGGGTGTTGTTTTTATTTTATTTTTTTTTTTAACTAAAATGAAAGCAACTTCTTTTATAACAGACTTGGTTTTACCTGTTTGCTTCTCAGGATGGAAGGCTTCGGGTGAATGATCAGCTGATAGCAGTGAATGGGGAATCCCTGTTGGGCAAGACAAACCAAGATGCCATGGAAACTCTCAGAAGGTCCATGTCCACTGAAGGGAACAAGCGAGGAATGATCCAGCTCATTGTTGCAAGGCGAATAAGCAAGTGCAGTGAGGTAAAGAATAAATAAATGAAAAGACCAAAGGCACTAGTATTTGAAATCATAATAAGACTGAGTTTCAGTCCTGACTTTGGACTGAACATGGCAAGTCCTGGGACTTTTCCTTGAACCACTATAAATTATCTTGGCTTGCTGTGGTTTTATTGTGTTATCAGTGAGTTGTGATGTGCTTTCCTAGTTCTGTGGCCAAAATATTCTTACTTGCTCAATAGTATTTCTGTTGCCAACTCAACAGATAAGATGGGGACCTTAAAGGCACCTTTAGCTGAGATCACACTTCCTGCTCAGAGCCAATAATTCTCTTCTATTCAGCAGTGTTGTAGCTGGTAGGGAGATGCAACAAAACTAGAGTTGTTCAGTTGTTTATCAAAAAATGGATGCCTCTTTCAAAGCCCCTTTATCCATTGGCATTGTCAAAAGTGTGAGCCTCCACTTCTATCTGCTACCTCCTCTTTCTCCTTCACTAAAGGTTAACTGTTTTTCCCCTTGAGTGCCTGCTTTTTCAGTTTTATCTATTATGTAATACATACTTAGTTCAAAATATATGCTGTACTGTATAATTAGGGGTAGTAGGAATGTTATGATCATGTCTTCCCAAATAAATAAAAACATATGTTCTTTTTTAGCAGGGCATTTGAAAATTAAAGGTAAAACTACATTATATATATATATACATATATATATATATATATATATATATATATATATATATATATATAATAAAAAACTAATATTGGAACCTTAAACAAATTTCATAGATCTATTCTAAATTATGTGCCATCAATAGAAAATAGTTGGGACCGGATAGTTTATGAAGAACAGAACTTACTGAAAATGTGGTTTATTTTTATTGATGCTAAAATTCCCACATTTTTAAATAAAGTAAGAAAAAATTACTAACAAATCATGCAAATTGAAAATGCTATCAAAATAGCTTGTGTTTTTCTTAATTTTAAAGTCCATGTTTAAAAAGTAGCTAAAGCAAGCTTTCTCAGTTGTGATGATCACTCATCTGATCCTATAATACAATCATATTTTGAAAAAAAATGTACTCTTGAGCTCAGTGTGTAGTCAGTGTAGAGGCAACCATGTTTTGAAAGGTTATTGACCATTGACTTGCTTTTGTGTTGTTTTTAATTTCTAAATGGAGAATGAGTTAATAGTAATTAAATTAATTTTCATACCAATAAGAGAACAATGTAACTGTAACTAAAAATCTCACAGTGGAAAGCAGTGTGATGTAGAAACATTCACTTTTATTATATAACTATAAATGCTAATCCCTCATACTAGGCTACTGGCCTAGTTTTCTTGAATTATTTGTTTGTCAAGTAATTAACTGGTCTTTTTAATGGAAGCCCTTTAAAGTGCTACATGAAAAATTCTCAACAGTAAGTTTACCAGATACATTGATCTTTATTAGTTTTTTCCCCCTGAAACTATAAGTGCACATTCCTCAAACAGTACATGTAGGCTGTCCCAAAAAATGTATACACACTTTAACAGCTGATAACTCAATTGATGTTTTTTCTTTTCAAATTTAACCCATTGGAATTAATAATTACTCAAAGTATATATACATTTTTGAGGACACACTGTAATTATTAAACAAATGTTTATTGAATATCCACTGTTTTAAGAAAGTGTGTTAGATCCTGGGGATATGGAGGCAAATAAAATAGATGTGACCCTTCTCTCATAGAACTTATATTGTACAATTGTTATGCTATTAGACTCTTTAAAAGAAACTAAAATTAGTAACCCCTTGCAAAGTTCTCCATCAGAGAAAAACGTTGAGTGTTATAGGGAAACTTAAAAACACTAAGGTCAGTGTCCTGAGTCCAGATCTGCTTTCATCTGGTCCAGATGATCCCCATTGTTCCCCAAATAGTAGCAAAGCAAACCTGTACCAGCTTGAAGATGTTTTGAGAAAAGCACTGATTTTATCCTCTGTTGCTCTTGGAAAGTCATGAAATTAGAATCCCATTGAAATATCTGTGTCTCATTCACTTCTGCATATGAATTTATGTGAATGAAATTATTTAAGTAAGGAACAGCTGCAGTAGACAGTAGTAGTTAATATTCAGTATTCCTTGTGATATAATTTTCATACATTCCTGGTTATTACTACTTCTTTGGACAGAGTAAGCTTATAACAATTATATTAAGTAAAATCTTATAAGTGCTATGCTTACTTCACAGTATTAGGAGAAGCCTTTTATACTGACAGGGTTTAACTAAAACATTATGCAAAGACAGAAGGGCCCCATTCAGCTTCCCATAAGGCTTAAGACATAATTTTGCTGCTGTTGTAATTATATTACCTTTGGAAAAACTTTCCTTGAATTAATGGGAGGGTATGTGTACATTATATTACAGTAAATATTGATATAAGCATAGGGTGTATGGTCATGAATGAACCTCAGGCTAAACAAAGTGCTTGAGTTCTCTCCTTCTGAATCTGTTAGAAAGCTATATAGTCCAGTTTTTGAAATATTATAAAACTGTATTTTATAAACACTTCCTTATGTCAAGAGTTTGCATACTTACTTTCAAGCTAGAGAAGATGAGAATTTGCAAAAAAAAAATCTTCTTTGTCACAACTTTCCTTGTCCTTATATGTGGGAAGTGCTGTACATATATTATTTTAGTATTGTTTAAAATAAACTATTTGTCACATCTCCATATTAGGTATTAACTTACCCTGTGTTTCACTAGTATTTATCCCTCTACAGCACACTGGAGGTTTTCTTTGGAAGGTATTTCTCAATCTGTTTTGCTTGACATTGCAGGAATCTTTGAATACCACCTCATTCTTGAATCATTTGTTACCTGCTCTCTCTCTATTCTTCTACTTTACTCCGGCTCTTCTCTTTTTCCTCTTTCTGCCTGTCCTTTTATTGTTAGTGTTCCTCAAGGCTCTTCCTGGGCTGTTTCTTCTTCCTGAGCACATTCTCCCTGGGTGATCTCCACTTCCTGGTCTTTAGGTACCACCTAGATAAGTGCTCCATAACTCTCTCTCTAGCTCAGAACTAATCTTGTTCCAACTGACCGTGGAGGTATTCACTGGTATGTCTCTCAGGCACCTAATTCCAGGGTGCTCCAAACTTTATGCTTTTTCCTCCAAAACCAATTCCTCCTTGAGGTACTTCATCCTAGTCACCACGTCCCCATAAATGACACCACCATTCCTTCAGTTGTTGAAGCTAGAGATTTGGGATACTCTTTATCTCTCAAAAACCTTTACTATCTCTTCTCAATCCATTTTTTTCTCCCTCCTCTGACACTGCCCACATTTGTGCCCACTATTTCCCTGAGCTCACTGCTGCTGCTCCTGAAGGGTTTCCCTGCAGTCAGGAATTCTCTCTCACTCCATTCTCTACACTGCTGGCAGGCAGATTTTTCTAAAAAAACAAAGTGGCCATGTCACTCCCGGCTGAGAACCCTTCAGGAGCTTTCTGTACCCTTTAGGACTGGTGCCAATCTACTCTCCAAAGCCTATTAGGGCATGTAAAACCTGTACCCCTTTCAGCCTATCCCTGTGCAATCTCTTCTCTAGCTCTTCTACACTACTTGCAGTTCTCAAATGTTCTGTGTTCTATCTTACCTCCAGGTTTTCGCCATGAATTTGTCCTGCTTCTTATCCTGGCAAAGACAACCTTTAAATTTCAGTTTTCTCTCTCCAAAGTATTTCCCTAGTTCTGTATACTTACCTTCACTCAGGACTGTCATCATTTTCTTCTTGGTTTTCCTTTGCTGGAACTATAAATTCAGACATGGCTGGGCCCTCATCCATCGGCCAGGTTCGTATTTCTGTCACTAGTGTCCAATCCAGGACTGACACGTTTCATTGTATGAAATGATAAAGGAAACAATCCTAGAGAATCTGGCAATTTTAGAAGAAAAAGATAACTTAGTTACTGCTAGAGAGTGAAGATCTAAGAAAACCATCAGGCAGGTAATAAAATTAATATCGTGACAGAGATTTGGATTTTCTTTGCTCCTCAGATCTAGTGCTCTTACTTAAATATATCATCAAACATTTTCTAAGCAATCATTGTTTCTCAAAAAAAAAAAAAAAGAGAGAGAGAGAGGGAAAGAAATGGCTTCCCCTTATTTTGTGCACCTCAAGGATAGATTAATTTTTTAAAGAACAATTTCTTAAGCCCTGGCATTCTTTTCCATTGAAAAGAATACAAAAAGCAGGCTTCCAGTCAAGATGGCGAGTAAGAAAACACTTTGCTTGCCTCCTGCCATGACCACATCAAAATTCCAACTCAACTACAGAACAGTATTATTGAAAACCACCTGCAGTCTAGCTGAATAAAAGTCCTATAACTGAGGTTTTAAAGAAGAAGCTGTGTGAAGACTGGTAGGAGAGACATAGACTCCTAATGGGCTAGTCATACACCTCTTGTGGTGGTTAAAAATCTGGAGAAATATCTTGGCTGCAGAGGTTCTCCTTGAAGTGCAAGGGATTCCAGCTCCACACCAGGACCCCCAGTCCAGGGTTCCAGTGTTAGGAAGAGAAGTCCCAATAACTTCTGGCTGAAAAAACCAGCAACGATTTTGGCTGAGTGAGAAAGAGGGTTTCCAGAGTCCCAGGTATTTCTCAGAAAAGCCTACACTTTCATTTACTTGGTCTCACTCTCTCTGAGATCCCTCGCTGGGGTGGCAGCTTGAAAGTCACCAGGGACATGCAGGGAGAAACTGAATTGTATGGCTTTGGGTTGGAGGGGTAGCTTTTTCCCAGACAGAAGTGCTGGCAGAGGCCATTATTCCTTTGCTGAGCCCTCTCCCCACAGAGCCCACAGGTGGGTGCCACATCTGAATCTCCATCAACCTTGTTAATAACATTTGACCTGCCTTGGTGATTCCTTGAGACCCTGTCCCACCCAACTTGTAGGCCAATTCAAGCCCTTTTTGGTGGCTTTTCCACACAAGCAACATATCTTAGCTCTTGATGAGGATTTTCCTAAAATCTCACAAAGGCT